GATGGTGATGATGATGGTGATGATGGTGAGTGTGTGTGAGAGAGAGAGAGGAAAGGGGGGGTGAGATCCTCCGCGGCGTGTGCAGAGAAAACAAGAACCCCACTTTGGATGTGGGGAAAAATGCAGGCGAAAACCCAACTCCGGGGAAACCTGTGTGTGAGAAAACAGTACGCGGGGGGGGGGGGGGGGGCGAATATTCCCAAGACGTCATCAGGGGAAGAGGGAGAGTAGTATTCATATTGAGTAATTGTGGAGAGGATAAGGCGGACGCTGAGAGGAGGAGGAGGAGGAGGAGGAGGAGGAGGACTAGGAGGAGGAAGATACGACGAGGGGACAAGAGGGAGGATATCGGAGGTGAGGGGGTGAGATCGAAGTGGAACGGAGAGCCCCCCTACCGGGAAATCGGTTTCGGTTTCGTATTCGTGCGTGCCGTGCGTGCGGGCGAGGCGAAACTGCGTGGGCGGGCGAGAAGAAAATCTCCTCCGGCTGAGGCACGGCCGGAGCAAATGTTTGCAGACCTGGGCCCGGTGACACGCGGTGCCCCACCGGTGTCCCGTGTCCCTTCGGTGCCCCGTCGTGAAATCGATTGTGCAAATCGAAATGCAAATCGACATGCAAATCGAACATGCTCATCGATTGAGAGCGATAACGAGAGGGATAGTGAGATCGAGTGTGAGATCGATTGTGAGACCGATGGTGATCTCGACAATGAGATTGATCGGGTGAGATCGAAAGTGAAATCGATAATGAGACCGATAGTGAGACCGAATGTGCTATTGATTGCGAGATCGATTGTGAGATCGATAGTGAAGTCGATAGTGACACCGAATGTGAGATCGATTGTGAGATCGATTGTGATATCGATAATTAGCGACATCGATGTCACAATCGATTGTGATATCGGGTGTCCAGGTGTCGGGGTGTCCGGGTGTCCGGGTGCCCTGGTGCCGGTGTGTCCGGGTGTCCGGGGGTGTCCGGGAGTTTCCGGGGTCCAGGGGTGTCCGGGGGTGTCCAGGGGTGTCCGGGAGTGTCCGGGGGTGTCCGGCGGTGTCCGGGATACTCGAGTGTCTGGGGGTGTCCGGAGGTATCCGGGGGTGTCCGGGGGTGTCCCGGGGTGTCCGGGAGTGTCTGGGGGTGTCCGGGGGGTGTCCCTCTAGAGGGGGTGTCCGGGGGGTGTCTGGGGGTTGTTCGGGGGGTGTCCGGGGGGGTGTCCGGGATACTCGAGTGTCTGGGGGTGTCTGGGGGTGTCCGGGGGTGTCCGGGGGTGTCCGGGAGTGTCTGGGGGTGTCCGGGGGTGTCCAGAGGGGGTGTCCGGGGGGTGTCCGCGGGGGTTGTTCGGGGGGGTCCGGGGGGGGTCCGGGCGTCTGTGTCCGTGTGTCCGTGTGTCCGCGTGTCTGTGCGTTTGGGTGTCCGGGTATCCGCGGAGGTGTCCGGGCGTCCTGGTGTCCGGGTGTCCAGGCCGGGGCCCGGGTGTTGAAGTGTCCGGCCGACCCGGGTGTCTGGGAGTGTCCGCGTGCGTCCGGGGGGGGTCCGCCGGGGGGTGTCCGGGTGTCCGGGTGTCCGGGTGTTTGGGCGTCCGGGCGTCCAGGCGCCCGGGGGCGTCCGGGAGTGTCCGGGAGTGTCCGGGAGTGTCCGGGAGTGTCCGGGTGTCCGGGTGTCCGGGAGTATCCGGAGGTGTTTGGGGGTGTCCGGGGGGTGTCCGGGTGTCCGGGAGTGTTTGGGGGCGTTTGGGGGTGTCCAGAGGGTGTCCGGGTGCTTGGGTGTCCGGGTGTCCGGGTGTCCGGGCCGGGTGTCCAGGGATGTCCGGGGGGTGTCTGCGGGGGGTGTCCCGGGGGCGTCCGGGTGTCCGGGTGTCCGGCCGGGGCCCGGGGACGAAATAGTCTGATTATGGGCGTCGCGGCGAAATCACTACGGCCGAGGTTTGCCACAGTTTGGGCATCACAGGGCCATTCTCTAAACCAGGGCCAGGGGGAGGAGGAGAAGGAGGAGAAGGAGACGCAGGAAGAGGAGGAGGAAGAGGAGGAGGAGGAGGAAGACAAGGAGGAGGAGGAGGAGGAGGAGGAGGACATTGAGGACATGGAGGAGGAGGAGGAGGAGGGAGGAGGAGGAGGAGGAGGAGGAGAAGGAGGAAAGGGATGATGATAATGATGATGCTGATGATGATGATGATGATGATGATGATGATGATGATGATGATGACGATGATGCTGATGCTGATGCTGATGCTGATGCTGATGCTGATGATGATGATAGTGATGATGATGATGATGATGATGATGATGATGATGAGGAGGAGGAGGAGGAGGAGGAGGAGGAGGAGGAGGACGGGGGGGAGGATGATAGGGAGGAGGAGGGGGATTCTGAACACGAGGGTCAGGAGGCGGCCCGCGTCGAAAACGTGGCCCTGGAAGTGAAGGCGGGAGTTATTTGGGTCAGGGTCGCAGCAGAAGCACGAGGCCGGAGCCCTTCCCCAGTCCCACGCGCCCTCGGCAGCTGACAATTGCACCGCCTCCTGTCCCAGCGGTGCGCGCCATCGATCCTTTGGCTGGTGCAGAGACCCTTCTGCCCGAGGCCACGAGGAGGAGAACGGGCAGGAGGAGGAGGAGGAGGAAGCGGAGAAGGAGGAGAAGGAAAAGGAGGAGGAGGAGGAGGAGGAGGAAGAGGAGGAGGAGGACGAGGAGGATCACAAGGAGGAGGAGGAGGAGGAGGAGGGGGAAGGGTTTGTAGCCAAGGGCCCCAGACCCCAGATGGAGCCAGCCAGGAGTAAGTACTCAGTGGTGGTGCTCCGATGGCCGCGGCTGCTGGCACAGCCTGTTCTGCCGAGTTGCCCCTGCTTCCCGAGAGCGTGCGTTTTAAGCGCTGGCCCAGGCAATAGGCCAATAGGGTGCCGACCGATTGCGTTGGGCGGCGTTGTTGCATCCCGTCCCCCCGCCAGGCCGTTGGCCTCGCGCTCGCTGCTGCTGGCTGCTGGCTGCAGCTCCGCGCTCTCCCCCATGCGCTCTGCCTGACGCTTGCAGCGCGGCGTGCGTCGTGCCGTCCGTGTTCGGCACGTGCACGCACTGCTCTCGCGCTGGCGCACGCTTGCGGTCACCCGAGGCAGAGCGCAGACGAGCCTCCCTGCGAGTGGCCTTTCCCTGGCGCCCGAGCTCCAGTGAGCCCGGCTGCATGCGGACTTGTCAGCTCTCACGGGCTGCCGCGGAAGCGGCATGTCAGAGGGTTCAGCGCCTCCGTGGTGCGGACTTACGGAACGAAGGGCGCGGGATCCTCGGAGCGTGCAGACAAGGCCGCTTGATCCTCACACTCATCATGATTGAATCCCGCAAAATTGCCCCTGCAGAGCCAGCGCGTCGCTGCTCGTGGTGCTCGGAGTTCTCTGGGTCCCCGCGAGTGGCCAGCCACTGGCGGCGACGGCGCTCGCGGAGTGAGTTGTGCGTTCCAGGTGTCCCGAGGCATCGCCCACAGATTGCTTGCCTCGCCGCCGTTTTCTGGGGGTGGCGTCTTGAGCGTGATGGTTGTGCGTTCGCCTTAATGCGGAGCATTTTGCTCAGTGCATGCGCACACCAGGCATTCTTTGCGAATTAGCCCCGTACCGTGACCCAGACGCCGCTTCCGCTCCCTGTCCGTTGCCTCGGAGCCGCCGACCAAAAAATTGAGCGTGATCATCTTCATGGCAAGTGCATCGCTCCCCCCACTGCGCGCCTCTCGGGATGGGAGACAGCTGATTGCACGACTGCTGAAATTTGGCGAGTGCGGCTCACGACCATCGCTGCGCGCGGGGCGGCGCGCCAAAGGTCGGTCGCGTTCGGCTCTCTCGTAAGAGGCAGCGTAGGGTCGAACACTCGGCCATCGTCGGAGCCGAGGCTGGCGGCAGGCACGGGGTCGTTGCGGCCTCCCTTGTCCGCACCTTTGCCCGACGTCGCTTGACAGGAGCCCTGGCGGCTCGAGGCCATGCAGCGCCTGGACTCTCGACCTCCTCGGTGGCCTGCCAGGCGCAGGCTGCTCTTTGTGCGGTCGGCCGCTTCAAGCCGCGTCGGCAGGCCGACTCGTGGGAGCCTGGCGTCTCGAGATTTGTTATCAATCTGCCGACGACAAGTCCTGCCACCGTGCCTGCGTTGTGGGCATGAAGCCTATTGGATGTTCGTCGGGATCTCGTGGGAGGCCTCTCGAGGGCCTCTTGGAGGCAGATTTGAAGCCTCTTCGGGGCCGTTTGGGGGCCCCTTGGGGCCCCGTTTATTCCTCGTGGGTGCCTCTCGGGGCCTCTTAGGGGCCTCTTGGAGCGGAAGGCTCAGATATTCGGTCCGTGCTCCCTCTCTTGGGTTCCTTTTGGGGCCGTCTTGGGGCCCTCTTGGGCCGTCCAGGGCGCTCTTGGGCCGTCTTGGAGCGCTCTTAGGCCGTCTTGGGGCCCTCTAGGTAGTTTCTTGGGCCGTTTTGGGGTGGTATTGGGCGCCTCTTGGGCCGTCTTGGAGCGTCGGATGGCTGAAAAGACGAAAACGCCCAAACCCTTCAAACACGTCAGGGAAATCAGTGAATTTTGCCTCTTGGGGCCCTCGTGGGAGGCCTCTTGGGGCGTCTAGGAGGCCTCTTGGGCCATCTTGAGGCCATGTTGGACGTCTTCGAGCGATCCTTCGGCGACTCGGGGCCCTCTTGGACCGTCTTGGGGGCTTCCTGGGCCGTCATGGTAGTTTTGAAGAGCCCAGGGGAGGCGCCATGGCCGCCCAGGGGGAGTGGGGGTGGTGCAGCCGGCTGGGTGCTACCGGAGCGGGTGGGAGGTCCTTTAGAAGACTACAGAAAGGCCAGGCAGCCCTTGGCATCCTTCCACGCCCCAGCGTGCCGCAGGCACGGTGTCGGACGATGGATGAGCGCGTGCGCAGCACCTCTTCAAGTCGTGTCGGCAGGCCGACGCGTGAGAGCCTGTCGTCTCGAGGTTTGCGTTTGCTCTTGTGCATGAGCGCGTGCGCCGCACTCCCGACCCCATCACACCTCTCCGGTCCCGCCCGCAGGCAGCCAGGGGCGATGATCCGCGGCGTCGGAGAGGATGGCTTGAGAGAGGGGCTCGCGCTGAGCGGCGAAAGCAGCGATGGGCTCGCGGGGGGCCAGGGGCGGGATGTCGCAGGCCGACGGGTTCTGAGGCAAGCGGGTCCTGGACGGCTTCCCGCAGTTTTGCGACTCTGGGGCCCTCCACGGGCGCCAGGGCCGCCGCAAAACGACTCTAGGTGAAGAGCTGGGCCGGGGGGAAGGCCCCGGGTCCAGGACTCGTTTCCCTCTGGACCTGTTTTTGCTCATGCGAGGGAGGGGAGAAGTCGGCCGCGAGCACCGGGGCATTGCCTTCGAAGAAGGCAAGGACGGTTCTCAGAGGGCCGCATGCGTTCCAAGAGGCCTTCCCAGAAGTTTCCAAACGTTGTTGTTCGGAGAAAATCGTTGTTCTCCACATCCTGAGTGGGATTGTTGCTTTCCCAGGACATCCTCTCCTTCCTTATGTTTCCTTATTGTTCTCCTCCTCCTCCTCCTCCTCCTCCTCCTCCTCCTCCTCCTCCTCCTCCTCCTCCTCACTCGCGAGCTCCAGGCGGCAACTTTCGTGATGGTGTTCTGCCAGACAGACAACTCGTACATTGCAGAGGCCCGGCGTACGAGCAAGCAGTACGCTGACGCTTGCAAGGCTGCGGCCGAGGGCAAGGGTTCGAAACCTTCGGGTGAGCCCCATGTGCATGTCTGGGCTAATCTCACAGCCATGGCGGCAACAGATGAGCATTTGACAACGGAAGAGCGGAATTTGATCACCAATCACCGAGCTGCTGCAGCGGATCCAGATGCCCTGGTCCATGTGGTGCACGTGTGCAAGGTGCGCAAAGCATTCCGGGACACCAATAAGAAACTTTTTATTGCCACGGCTCCGGAGGCCAAGCAGCTGACCAACATCATGGTCAAAGCTATCTGCGCTGCCGGCGGGGTGCAGAAATACGGCCAGGCGCCGCGCTCGGGAGGCGAGCGCAAGCTCCAGACTTTACTGGATGAGCTTCGCAAGATCGTCCCCGACGAGGCCGACAGGGACTGCGAGATGTGAGGTAGCGCGTCGTGCCGGCTTCCCGTCTCCCTCTTCCTCTTCCCCTCCCCTCCCCCCCCGCCCTCCTCTCTCCTTCCCCGGTGATCAGTGTATTTACTGTCATCTTATGTGCCTCCGGGATTTGGGGCACCAACAGACCCGCGGCGAGTCCCTCGGCGCCCTGTGCCCGCCGTTCCGTCTCCTGGCGGGGCGTACCCAGGACCCGCCGTGAGGGCATCCGCCCGTTCGCTTTTGTGGGGCGGGGGCTCACACGACCGGTTCCGGAAGCGCGCCTGCACGGTGCGCGGTGCTCTGCTCGGGACTCTTGTTTCCCTCACGCAGTGGTCAGTCAGTCAGTCTCCTCCTCCTCAGGTGTCGTACCCTTCCCACTCCACCAGTGCCTTCCACTCGAGCGGGAGGTATCCTATGCCTTGCTGGGTGCAGGGAAGGGCTTTCCGCCGCAATGCTAGGGATCCCCCTCCGCTTCCGCCTTATTCGCGCCTTGCACAAACCGCCTTATACTGCGTACTGAAAAAGGGCTCAGGGGGCATAACCGCCCCCTGCGTTTGTTTACATAGATTCTTTCGAGCTGGCTCTAAGAGGGCGAGGGGGGCGAGAGGATGCAGAATTCCGATGTGTCGGTGTTTTTTTTTTTTCGATCGCGCATGCAAAACGCAATACGGCCGAAACCACCTCGGGGGCACGAAGCCAAGGTCAGCTCACGTCTTCCCCTGCGCGTGCACTTTGGCCACGTGCTGTAAGAAGCTCCCGTGGCCACCGAGTACGTGTGGCCGCCGTCCAGCGTGTCCCCCTTGGACGCGACCTTCCGATGCTGGAACTCCGTGATAAGCGTGGTCCGCGCGCGTCTGTCCGAGGTGGGAGGCAGCTGGCCCCCGCTCCGCTTCTTCACCCGACGCTTCAGCACGGACCACCTGTTTTCGATGGCTTTGGTGTTGTGGCCGCGCGCGTTCTCTCTCCATCGGAGTGCACGACCACCTCGTGGCGCAGGTCGCGCGTCGACCAGCCCTCCTTGGCGCGGGTGTGCGTCACTGCCGCCAGCGTGCCCCCCACGAATCTGTCACCAACGGCATGCACTTGCGAAGGCCGACCATGTCGAAACTCTTGACCATTTCTGCCTTGCCCCGCGGCCGCCAACCATAAGTGTCCGACGGGTGGTCGAGCACCCGGGAGAAGACATGTTTTGGCGACCCTTGCACAACGACGCCCCACAACCAGATTTTGGCAGGCATCGGGCGGCAGCCAGGCGTCAGGCGCGTGACCTTCCCTTTGTTGAGGTACGCCTCGTCTGTCTGGATCAGAGGGAGGGGGCCGAACGGTCATTCACTGTCCCTGGGTGCGTGGCTGAAGTGGAATTCCGCGGTGCAGATTATCGTTGTTGTTTGTTGTTGTTGTTGTTGTGGTTGTTGTTCGTTGATGTTTGTTGATGTTTGTTGTTTGTTGTTTGTTGTTTGTTGTTTGTTTGTTGTTTGTTGTTTGTTGTTTGTTGTTTGTTGTTGTTTGTTGTCGTCGTCCCACCCGCAACCCGCCCCGCGACCCACCCGCGACCCACCCGGCGACCCACCCCGCGACCCACCCGCGACCCACCCGCGACCCACCCGCGACCCCACCCGCGGCCCGCCCCGCGACCCACCCCGCGACCCACCCGGCGACCCACCCTGCGACCCACCCGCGACCCACCCGCGGCCCACCCGACCCACCCGCGACCCACCCCCGCGACCCACCCGCGACCCACCCGCGACCCACCCCGCGACCCACCCCGCGACCCGCGACCCACCCCGCGACCCAACCCACCCACCCGCGACCCACCCGCGACCCACCCCGCGACCCACCCGCGACCCACCTTCGACCCAAACCACGTTCAAGGTACAAACCACCATTTTCGGCGCCTGCGGCGGGTTTTTGTTTGCATTCCTTCCAGGTGGAGAGCCCGCGACCCACCCCGTGACCAACTCGCGACCAACCCACGCCCAAACCACGTTCAGGGTACAGACCACATTTTTCGGCGCCTGCGGCGGCCATCTTTTGCATTCGCTCCCGGTGGAAAACCCGCGGCCCACCCGCAACCCAAACCACGTTCAGTGTACAAACCATTTTTGGGGGCGCCTGCGGCGGGCTGCTTTTGCATTCCTATAAGGTGGAGGTGGAGAGCCCGCGACCCACCCGCGACCGAAACCACATTCACTGAACAAACCAATGCCGCACAAGCGCGGCGGCGGATTTTTGCATGCCGCTTGAGCCCGCAAGGACCTCTTCAAGCCCCGCGCATCCACACCAGCCCGTCCAGCAACTTTGCCCTGGCGAGTTGCCTTGATCAGAGAAGTCGGGGAGCATAAAGTGGAAAAAAGATTGCGTTGCAGTTCTCTTAGGAAAGGAGGGGGAGGCAGGAGGAGTAGACAGGGGACGAGGAGGACGCTGAAGAAGAGAGGATGTAAGGAGAATGTGGAGAAAGAAAGGAGGAGGAGCAGGAGGACGAGGAAGGGGAGGAGGGGGAGGAGGAGGACGAGGAGGGGGAGGAGGGGGAGGATGATGATGATGGACGACAATGGGAGGATGATGATGGAGGCCGATGAGGGGGAGGACGACAATCGGAGGACGATGATGAAAGGACGAGGGGGGGAGAGGGAGGACGAGGAAGAGGAGGAGGACGAGGAGGAGGACGAGGTGGAGGAGGAGGATGATGACGATGACGATGACGATGACGATGACGATGAGGACGAGGACGAGGAACAGGGAGGAGGAGGAGGAGGAGGAGGAAAGCGCCATCGACAGGGAAGGTGGGGGCCACGAGGTCCGCCGGCTCGACGCCCGCGTCGCCCGCGCCCGCCCCCTCACTCTTATCTGCAATCGCGGGGTGCTACGTAATGAACTTCGTGGGGGTCATCTTCTTCATGGCTGAGGGCTGGGCTTCCCCCCTTCTTCCCCGCAGTGCCCCGGGCAGGATTCTTCTTCTTCGCGACGGAGCGCTTTGCGCCGCGCTTCTTCATGGAGGTGCGCTTGGCGTTGTCGCGTTTGGTGGCGACGCGTTTTTCACGGGCCCTCTTCACGGCGGTGCCCTTGCCGCTGGCCCTCGGCGTGGCCGTTCGTTTCGCACTGTTTTTTGCCATGGCCCTTCGCTTCTTCACGTGGCCACCGCGTAGCGATTGCAACGAGATCTTGCCCTAGACGTACGCGGCGGCTATGTCCTGGAAGATGGCCAAACCAGCGGTCGACAACGTTGTGATTCTTCTTGGCCTCGCGGAGCACTGCGAGGTGCGGGTGCTCCTGCGGCCACAAAACCAGAGCGCCCAGCAAGGATAGCCGCGACGACGTTCTCGCAACGGCCAGGAGCGCGCCGCTCGCCATGCTCACCTCCTTGTCGGCGTGGTCCTCGCACGTGGCCCGAACGCATCGTGGCCCGCGACAGAGCCAGCGGCAATCGTCGCCGCAATACTTGGTTCCCATAGTGCAATCAGAACTGAACGTGGGGCAAGCGCGCGACTTTGGAACGATCCCAAAGTGCCGATTCTGGAGTACTTGACGACGCGCAAGAAGTCTTGCCTACTGTAGAATGGCTCCGTGCCCTCCTGTTTCTGCCCCTTCTTCTGCCCCTGCTCCCGTGCCATCTCATGAGGGAGACATGAGGGAGACACGGGGGAGCCATGAGGAAGCCGCAGGAGAGCCACGACGGAGCCATGAGGGAGACATGTGGGAGCCATGAGGGGGTCACGAGGGATCCATGAGGGAGCCATGAGGGAGCCACGGGGGAGCCATGAAGGAGCCACGAGGGAGCCATGAGGGAGATACGAGGGAGACATGAGGGAGCCACGAGGGAGCCAAGAGGAAACCATGAGGGAGACATGAGGGAGCCATGAAGGGACACGAGGGAGACATGAGGGAGCCACGAGAGAGCCATGAGGGAGCCACGAGGGAGCCATGAGGGAGCCATGAGGGACCCATCAGGGAGCCATGAGGGCCTCTTCCTCCTCCTCCTCCTCCTCTTCCTCCTCCTCCTCCGCATCCTCTTCCTCACCCTCCTAATCAGAATCCTTTCTGGAGCAGAACCAAAGAAAACCATAGGAAAAGCAAAACAAATACTCCGACGGAAAGACCTCACATGAAAATCCGTTTGGTTAATCTGGAAATAACCTTCACTCTCGCCCTCGCGATTCGTGAGGCGCCCTTATTGTCTTCTGCGCGTCATTATCATTCTCGCCCTGGCGCAGGCCCTCACCCGCTCCCCGCGTTGCCCTTGCCTCGCCTTCTTGCTGTTTGTTTCGTCACCCACCACCTTCTCTCCTGTCTATTGCAAGAGCACGCGCGCGCCGATGTTTCTCGACGCCGCCGCCGCTTCGGTCAGCGCGGGCGCATTCTCGAATGGCCGCGTCGCGCGGCCTTTGGGACAACCCCGCGGGCCAGGCCGTTGGGGCAACCGCGCGAGCCGCTGGGGCGCGGGAGCAAGCCGTTGGGACAACCCCGCAGGCACCAAGCTAGTCACGGCCGCGTTCAGGCGGGAGGCAGCACGAAGCCAAGCTTTGCGGCGAGCTGCTCGGCCTCATCCTTGGAGCCCTCCGCCTTCTCATCGAATTTTTCGAACGCCTTCCGCAAGGACGCTGGCGGCCCGCGTTCCAGAAACTTCCGCGTGGGCGGCCGCAGTATCAGCACGTTCCGCATGCACGTGGCGCGGGAGAGCATGACGTAGAGGTGCAGCCACCATTCGTCGCCCGACTCCGACATGCCCGTTGACAGGAGTTTCCCCCTGCCCAGAAACAAGGGTTCCCTCCTGCCCCCGATTCGGCTGACGATGGGTTACCACCGCCATGGCAGCTTGGAGACAAGGGTTCCCCCCTGCCCCCGTTTCGACACAGAATGGGTTACCACCCCCGGCCCAGACGCAAGGGTTTCCCCCTGCGCCCGGCCGCCGTCGGCGTCCTCACCTCCTGTTCCTCCTCCTCCCCACCTGATGGGTCGGGCGAGTCGCCTTCTGAAGAGCGCATGGGGAGGGGGCTCTCGGTTGATACTTCCTCACACTTCATTCACAGACGAAGCCCCCCGCCTGATATTTTCCTCCATT